CTCTACTAAAAATACAAAAGTAGCCAGGTGTGGTGGTGCATGCCTATAATCCCAGGTACTTGGGAGGCTGAGGCAGGAGAATTACTTAAACCTGGGAGGCGGAAGTTGCAGTGAGCCAAGATCCCGCCATTGCACTCCATCCAGTCTGGGAAACAAGAGTGAAACTCCGTCTCAAAAAAAAAAATTACTACACAGGGACAGTATTGAACCACAAAATAAAGTCCTGAACACGTAGCCAATGCAGAAAAAGGTAAAGAACTTTATTTAACACGGATTCTTGCTCTGTTGCCCAGGCGAGAGTGCTGTGCCGCAATCTCAGCTCACAGCAACCTCTTCCTCCCAGGTTCAAATGATTCTCCTGCCTCAGCCTCCCCGGTAGCTGGGATTACAGGCTGATGTGCCATCACACCCAGCTAATAAGAACTTTTTTTCGGGGGGGGGGGGCGGCACTCTTGCTCTGTCACCCGATCTCAACTCACTGCAACCTCCACCTCCACCTCCACCTCCACCTCCCAGGTTTAACAAGTAGCTAGGACTACAGGCGCACACTACTATACCCAACTAATTTCTGTATTTTTAGTAGAGGCAGGGTTTCACCATGTTGGCCAGGCTGGTCTCGAACTCCTGACCTCGCGATCAGCCCGCCTCAGCCTCCCCAAGTGATGGGATCACAAGCATGAGCCACCTCGCCCCGCCAAGAACTTTTAAAATAGCCTATGTCTTTAAAGTTCCTTCCTTACTCTCCAACAATCGCACTCGGTATATACTGATGCCCATACCTAACTAAGACTATCCCTTTCCATTGCTATTCTCCCCACCTCCCAAAATTGTACTCAATTATACAGTCAACTGTACATTTTATTTTTCATTTTTTTGAGACAGGGTCTTGCTCTGTTGCCCAGACTGGTTGCAGTGGCACAATCATGGCTTACCGCAGCCTCTATCTACCAGGCTCAGGTGATCCTCCTGCCTTAGCCTCCCAAATAGCTGGGACCACAGGCGTACACCACCACATCTGGCTAATTTCTTAATTATGTGTAAAGATGGGGTTTCCCTATGTTGCCCAGGCTGGTCTTGAACTCCTTGGGCTCAAGCAATCCTCCCACTTCAGCCTCTCAGCCTCCTCAAAGTGTTGATATTACAGGTGTAACTGTGCCTGGCTGATTTTGGTTTAAGCTCAAAACTCAACTTGCAGCATCAGAAACTGAAGTCTGTCATCTATTATAAAGAACACAAAGCAGAAAGAATATGCTATTCTGTTTACTACCTTCCCACATACGACCGTGGGTGGTATCAGTTAAACATGCAAAATATTAAGCATTACTAAACTGCATATTTTCACATCTAACGCTAAATTCCCAAAGAAATAGATTTAGCCTTAGCCTGTTCTCCAATCCCATCCCATTCATTTTAATTCCTAAGTCCTTGGGTGACCACAGAAGTCAATAAAGTTGAAAAAGAAATGTAGAATTTGATTTCATGAAAATCTTATTTGAGTGTTTGGGCTTTTAAAAATCCTAACTATATATACTTAAAAGTTACCAGACTCATCGTGTGTTAGCGTAGTAGTTTAGCTATTGCCTCACCCACAATAAAATAAATCTGATGCCACAATCCTTACCATCTACTAAGAATATTTGCATATGAGTAAAAATTTGAAATATGTCATCTATTTTCTCTTAACATCCTTCTAAAGCTAAAATGCTGAATATGAAATACACAAACAGACTAATGCTAACAGTTAGAAAATGTCTGTTCCCAGATAGGGGTGAAATTTTGCTATCAATTAAATACCCATTATTTTGGATTCCTTTCAGAATTGTGACATATATTTTAAAAATGTATCTCCTAGGGGAAAAAAATAAACCTGACACTAAACAGTACATAACTGAACTGCGGGAAAAAAAAAAAAAAAAGGTACTTACTTTAATAGAATTTAGGAGTTCACAAATATACTAATTAAGGGAGACCAAGGGTTTTCACTGCAACACATTTTTACCGCTTATGGCTAATGGTCAGAATGTTAACAGAGAATGCTGAAATATTTTATATATCAACTTCTAATTAGTTATAGCACCACATCCTTGGGGTGTGGGGTGATTTAAACCATTTTAAATGTAAACACTCATTTTCTTATCAGTTAAAAAAAAAAAGAACCCACTCCACCCTCTCTGCCAGTCTCTGATATACCTCAGAATACTATAGTTACTTCACAGTGGGAAGGAATAGCTAATAAGTACATTTCTTTTTCAATCCGCTTCTCTACCCAGTCATTAAACATCAAATCCTGAAACTGAATTCAGCTACCTAGATCTTTCTACCGGGAATGCTCCCTATGGCACCTCAATCCCTTCCACTGTTACTTAATGCAACTGCCAAAGCCCCTCCTATTAATAGTAAATCCCTTTCATACTGACTCACTGTAACTCCAACTTGATGAAATAGACACCAAGCAGAATTTACAAAATTTGCAAATGGAATTTTCCTGTTTTCAAAGAATGAAAAAGGAAAGTAAAAGTAGAGCACACTCAGGCTAAATTATACACATTTAAAGTTCAACCAATTTATAAGTATTTATGTGGCCTGTTCTATGTTCTGTTTAAACATTTTTTTGAAAGTTTTGCCAAGCGTTGTGTAATCACTTCCACAAAGCTAAATTTCACATACAAGTGATTTTGGTATGTAAATATAAACTTAAGTCATTACCCCCAAGACTGTAAGACAATCTGGAAATTCTTCAAAAAAATTTTCTCTTAATCTATGGAAATTTTTAACAGTACACACAGAAGTGGAGAGAATAATAGTAACAACGAGCACTCCTGTATTCATCCGACTACAATAATCGACTCGAGGCCACTTTTGTTTCATATCTACCTCTTACCCACTCCCTCCCCTCATTATTACCTTCAAAAAGAATGAAGAGGAAGACACTACTTTCGGTAAGAACACTGAGAAAAACCCAAAGACAGCAAAAGTACCAAAGACCAGCAAGTTAAGAAGTCAAAAGCCAAAAATTTAACTATAGCCACCTTACACATTTCCTTGGTAGGTGATAAATTTAAGAATTCAGTTAAACACAAAGATATCACCATCTTTAAGAATTTTAATGAAGTCCATAAAACCCAAAGGGTCTATTTAAAATTATACCTAAAAAGACCAATAAAGAAATGCGAAGAAAACGAACTTAAAAATCTGCAATTAACTTACATTAACGTGGCATCTTAGTTCAAAACGAAAAAAAATGGACTATTTAACATAATGTGTCATAAAACTACAATTCAACCACTTGAAAAGCCGCTGAACACTTACACACGCAAAACTGGTCCTTCTGATCCCTAATTATAGATTGATATCAATGTAGAAAGAAAACCAGGCATTTTAACGTAAGTGGTTGAAAATTAACCCCACTGTTCATCGGAAAGTATACGAGAGCAAGTCTAAACCACCTGAATTGTACGTCATTAAACAAATGCATCCACTTCCCAGGGCCTTTTTTTTTTAACAAAATAAGTTCACATATACCCTTAAACGCAACGCGCTAGCCTACAGACAGAATTAGGAGACCGCCTCCTGCTTTTGCTCCTAACCAATACGCAGAGAGAGAAGGTTGGCAGAAAAGTGCTGCGAGGACAGTAACAAACACCAGCAGCTCCCGAGCAGGCCCTGCTAGAGCCAGGAATGACGCACTTCGGTAACCCGACTCTTTCTCCCCTCCACCCCCGCCCCCAGCAGCGGTGCTGACACCGCCAACAGCCCGGAGTAGGAAAAAAGACAACAGAAAAAAGGCAGAGGTTGGACCGCACTAGATTTCATCAAGAAACCTCGATTATTCCTCTTTCGACACTAACCACTAGGACTAAACAGGAAAAGAAGCTTCGTGCTTAAGCAAGTCCCATCATGGTGGTTTAAGAGTCACTAAATTAAGCTGATAATGAGACCAATCCACAGAGACAAATACAGGGTGTGGCTGCTGTGAAATACGGCGGTCCGTGGGAGAAAAGGGGTATGGAATTTACACTCCAGTGTGAAGGGAAGATAGGGCTTTACGGTGGGAGGTGGGGGTGGCCCGCGCATTTTAAGGAACCATTGCAAACCAACACAAGCGTCTCGTTTACTTAAATCTAACCTTACAGATCAAAAGTTTCCAATAGATATATCACGCAAACTGTAAATTACCATTTTATCCAACACCATGGCTCTCAATTTAAAAACTACACCCAAGAGAAAGGAGGAGGGAGAGGGAAGAGGGGTGATAGGCAACAACATAAAAAACATTCTAGGCCACGGAAGAGAAAGTCTCACAAACCGGATGAAACTACTAATGCAATATTAAAAATTAAAGCCGAGCACTGAAGCACGAAAAAAAAAAATCACACGATAACCCATTCCAGTTAAGGATTAAAAATAAAACGACATATGCACCAAAGGGGAGCGGAAACTAAATGTCCAAAGTGCAGCGGTTTATTAAAAAAAACTAAAGGCAAAACAAGACATTCTCGCGACGGGGGGAAAAAAGGCCGAAATCAACAATACGTTCACGATTCTAGGCCAAAAGAAAATGGGAACAGGGCTCAAAGTTTTGCGGAACTACTTGATGCTGTTTCCCACACCTTCTCTCTCCCACGGCCCATCCGACCCTTTTCGTCCCAAAATCGCCGTCCGCAGATCTCCGGATCCAAGGGAGAAGAAAAAAGAAAGTCGACCCCGAGCAAGAATAAAAGTGTGGAGTGAAAACGCACAGGCTGCCTACCTGGGGCAAGGATCAGCTCAGTTCGTGCCTTGAGAAAGACAGTGCGGGTGGGGGTGGGAATGAAAAGCAGCACTAAAACTAAAACAAAAGTGGCGCCAAAACCCCCCAACAAACAGCCTTCCACTCCCGCCCTTCCCCCCTCCGCCCATGCCAGGCAGGCAGGGCCCCCTTCGGGGCAAGGTCTGCGCGCGGGGGCCAACACCGCCAGACCCCAGCCGATTTCGAAAATTGTTGCCCGAAGAAAACTGACCGAAGTCGGGCCTCGGAAGGGATGGAGAGATCGATGCCAATCGCCTTCCCCAGCAGTTCCCCCACCACGCGCTGGAGATGATGGGGCGGGGGAGAAGCAGAGGGGCCCGTCACATGAATGTTGTTCCCTCTCTAGGAAGGGAGGAAGAGAGAGAGGGAGGGGGGAGGGAGGGAAGGAAGGAGGGGAAGGGAGAAGGGAGGGGGCACGAGGGAGGGGTGTGATCAGAGTAGATTTTCCCTCGCCTCCCTCGGTCCGAGGCCCAAATATACACAACTGAGCCTCCTTTCTCCCCTCCCCCCAGGTTCCCAGCACCACCATTTTGCTCTGCCTTCCCCTCACCGCGACACCGCGCTCTCCCCCACCCCAACCACAGCCTCCCCGGCTTTCCTCCCCTGACTACGGCTCGCACCCCACCCCACCTCCAGTTCGGGCTCTCCTAGGCTTAAGAGCCTGACGGAGAAAAGGAACCTAAATCTACTGCTACACAGAGAAGCGGAGCCTCCATCTTGCGCTGCTCCGCGTTCTCCATTTTGGGCCACCCATGGGGGGGGTCTCCGTAGAGGCCCCGAGGGAGAGTTGGGCGAGGGAAGGAAGAGAAAATCTTCAGCGAGGGTAGTCGAAAAGAAGAGCTCTACGGTAGAAAGCCACTCTAGGAGTAGGAGGTAGGAAGGAAGGGGGGCTGGAAGTTCCTTGGAAGTGTTGGGGTAGCGACTTGGGGGAAGAAGGGAGAAAGGGCTGGGGGCGCCGCGGGGGCGAGGAAGATCCTCCTGCCTGGACTCTGTCCCCGATCCATGGTTGCCCCCCGTAGGGACGAAGGAAGCAGAGGGGAAATTCAGTGGCAACAGAGTGCCCAACCTCTTTCCCTCCCAACTCCTCTCTCTCGCCCTGTTTCAACCATACACACCTCACGGTGGGCCCCGCGCCCTCCGGGTGCCCCTCCAAACTTCTAGAAGCTTCGCCTCCGCCATTTTATAACTTACCTCCCCCCTCAGCGTACACAGAGGCAGCAACGAGACTGTTCGCCTCCCCCACTCCTCCTCCTTTCTCAGGCCGGGGGCTTCTTCACCCCTGGGCTGGTACAAGATATTTTTCCCCTTCCTCTTCTTTACACCCTCGAATTCTACTCAGGGACGGAAGCTCCCGCGGTTCTAGAGCGGT